ATTCTACCGTTGAATTTGTGATACTCTCAGCTTTAATTTGAGATATTCTTTTTTGTTAAATTTGGGGTAAATGAATGCTCAGAGGATCAAATTTCCTGTGCCGCTGTCGGTGCGTCCGCGCCCCCCCCCCCCCCCCCCCCCCCCCCCCCCCCNGCCACTTCCAGGAGCCGAAATAACTGATAAAAAAATTAAAAAGCAACGTTGATTTCGACATGAAAATAAAAAAGTAATGTAAAAAAACCAACAGAAGTTGCTTTCATCTTTAAAGTTCCTTTTCTACGTTATCACCTCGAGGTGTCAAGCCCTTCTGAAGTCGTAGCACTCGCTTACAAAACACTGCGGCGAAGAACTCTGCTGGCTGGTTTGTTTTTGAACCACTTCATGACGGCGCTTTGTACTTCCTCGTCAGTAGCAACCCACAAAATGATACCTCCAATTTGGAGGTAATGATGTGAAGGAGCCAGGGCTGAGCTGTACGGAAGATGGTCCAAAACTTCCTTAACAGAGGGTCTCTTTCAACAGCTGAGTCGTTGGAGCTGCGGAAGGTGGGCGGGCATTTTATCGTGCAGTAACTAAACCCCGAAAGTAAAAAAAAACCTTGCGAATGATTTTGGATTGCTCGGCGACGCTTTCTTAAAACTTCACACAAGTGATTGTTTGTCCACGGGCCAAAAAGTCAACTAAAAGAATACTTTTCCAATTCCAAAAGAGCGCACATCCTACTTACCTCAATTATCGCGCGCCTGGAGAAGGCGGAAAATGCACTGATGGCGGCTCGGGAAAATCGGATGCATTCCGTTCATTTGCTTCAAACTTAACACACTGTAGCTCAAATTAAACCTGAGAGTATCACAAATTCAACGGTATAACTGAATTTTGTCTAGCATCAATGGTTGTTGAGAAGGAGCAAAACTCAGTCTGACTTTCCGGACGAACCTTTGTATTTTAATCAATGGGAGATATTTGTAACTCATTTTTTATAGGGTTTAGATTTAATGATATTTACACAATTACATATCTTACAATATGTGCTTATGCGGTTTCAGACTGGAAGAGTCATTTCGGAGCGTGGCTCAGGATTTTACTCCACCAACTGTGGCGATTACCAAAAAACCTCCAAACTAGATGCCAGATGAGATTTCAGATGCGAGTGGCTGCTGCCGTAAGTTTGTATTCTTTACTCAACAAATAACAACAAAATACTTAAGTCTGCTTTTGAGATTAGATAAAAAAAACAAAGTGAACGAGTCGAGCGTATTTAATAATGTGGTGGACTCTTTTAAATTAACGGCAAGAGTAGGAAAGGCAAAAAACTTGATGATTCATTTAAAAATATGAATTTTCAAAAGTATCGACTTTGGAAAATGGCAACATCATTTTTCTGTGGTTCTCGGGAAAAACAAGCTCTTCAACAAATGAACAGTATAAATAGTGTTAGGTTGATTTTATCATTGATAATCGGGAGACTGGAAACGAACTGACTGCCTAATCAGATCCATCCAATTTTCTTCAGGGTGAAAGGTGGGGGCAGAGAAAAGGAGGATGAAGGAAATCTGTCAAAAGGTAATTGTCAACACCAAATACTATGATGATTTGGAAAGAAAATTGGTCTGGAGGGACTTGAAAGTGCAGCAAGGATGCACATCGCAGAAAGTATAGATTGAGTACGCCGCCCATGGTATGTGAGGCAACTTCAAACAAATATATTCCTAATTTCTTGCATCTTCCGAAAGAGAATAAGAATAGCATTTTGCAAAAAGGAACCACAAGCATTCCAATGTTGCTAGGATTGTGCAGCTTGCATTCACTGCAAAAAAGTACTGAAATCATGCAAAAATTTAAATTTACAAATTTAATCTTCGTCTTAATACATAGTTTATTGGGAGTAAAGATTAAACTTGTTTCGATGATCAGTTGGATTTCATTTTGCAATAAGAAACCACTATTTCTGGCTCTTCTATAAAAGCACATGTCTGCATAGGGAAACCAATGGCATACATGCTGTTTCTTAAATGAGCCGAAAATAGTGGTTCTTTATTGCAAAATGTAATCCAGTTCATATTTGCAAGGTAAACAAAGTTGCACAATCTTAGCAACATTGGTATGCTCTTGGTTCCTTTCTGAAAAAATGCAATCCATATTGTATAGTTGGGAATAATATTTGATTAGAAATAGGGTCGACAAAACTTCATTCATCTCTGTCCATTTTAACAGCGCAACAATTGAAATCTTAATAATTTACTATGCTATAAAATCAGAAATAACCTTAGAAAGTAGATAGCAACGGTGATACAGAACTGTTGTGTTTTACAAATTTAATCGATGAATCCAGTTTTATAATGGATTTCTGTGCAAATCTGAACTTGATAATTCCATTCGTTCAAAAGACATGAATTTTTAAAAGATTCGACTTTAGAAACGTCGTATCCCCGGAGCTCCGGGATAAAAAAAACAAGCTGGTTTTAGACCTTCGGTGACTAATACTATCAACCTACACAGTTTGGTGCAATCCGGTCCACGAATGGCTCGTTTCACCGAGTCTTTGTCAAACCATAATATTCCTTGTTTTGTGTTCTAAAAAAATGCAGAATGAATGAAGATTTTGAAATACTGAAATTGAGTTGCATATTTTTTACTCAACGAGAGTTTACTCAACGAATTATAGAATGGGACAAGAGTGGGTTTCAGATAGGATCTTTTAAACTTCAGTGCTGTTTGCGCACTAATAATGCTACTAATAATTGGTACTAATAATGTTTGAGCTACTTTACAGGAGCTGTAATTTTTTTGGTTTCAGGTATTGGAGAAGATTCCACAAAAGAAGAAGAGTTCACAAAAGAAGAAGAGGACAAGTCTCAATCGTTCATTCACATAGACTGTGATTTTTTCCAGAGATATGGTTTAAAAATTTCTTTCTTTTAATTTTTCCTCCAAATACTATCAACCAACCTTGTTTTCAATTAAATCGTCTGAAAGCAGACTCTTGTCCAGTAGTTTAGATTTTAAATACAAAAATAAAATAAAAAATAAAATGGAAATGAGGTGCGTGCCTAAAATATCATTAACTATGATGTTACGATGTTGTCATGTGTCATGATGTTCTTATGATGTCACGAATTTTTGTACTTCCTTCGCCTAAAAAAACTGCTTAAGAATTATTCAAAGAGGACAAGAGGGAACATTATGATTTCAGCGTCAATCATAGGTTTCAGGTGCAATTCACCATGAAACAAAGATCGTATACAGGGTTATTCAAAAGTTACGCACCACTGGCCATAACTTTAGTTCTAATTATGATATCGATTTGCGGTTTGTGGCGTCCTTCCTCATATCGAGGGGGAAACTTTTTGAGGTACTTTCCAGTTCTTCGCCCCCACAGGGGGAGGGGGGGCGGGGGGGCAACTCAAAAATTTTAAATGGCAACCCCCATCATTTGATACATCGTTAGAAAGAGCATAAAAAAAGATATTTTTTGGCGCAAACCGGAAGTCGATCTGACCCCCGTATGAAAAGTCAGGGGGGTCCGTACCTTCATTTTTTAGAGTAGCTTCGGCGGCTCTTGGTCATACCGTTTCTCTTTTCAAAGAGTCCTCGAACACTCCAAGTCTGATACCGAAGTCTTCATATTGCCCCCGAGCCACCACAGCCCCACAATAAGGGGGGATGGGCAGTGCAACACGGCAAGCAGAGATACTTATTTCTGAAGTTTCACCATCCATATAAGTAAATATCAATTTTGTAGATAAAACTTGAATTCTCATTGACTTCAGACTTTAAAAACTATTAAATGAAAGCAGACATTGATAAGAGATCGACATTTATTATTGCAAATAAAATATAATAAAAATATGAATAATAAAATAGACAAGACAAGACAAGCAGCAAGACAAGCAGACTAGCAAGACAAGAGATCGAAATTTTTTATATTAACTTCATTGGCATTCATCGCGGTGATCAGTCCTTCAATCAAGTTCCTCTGTCATCGAAGATTTTTCTCCCAGGTCGATCGGAATATCTCCCCAGCATTTAAAATGGACCGAGTTTAACAGAAAGGAACCAAGCCACATCAGCTGTTGCCAAAATCAACTGGGCAATTCAATTTTTTACGAAAGAATGTTTGTGCAGATTTCTGTGAAAATGATGAGAAATTTGCTTCGTACTATGGAGAAAATTCACTGAAATTTGCACGAAAATCTGCACTACCGTTTTCATGTAAAAAATTAAATTGCCCAATTAAATTTGGCAATAGCTGATGTGGCTTGGTTCTTTTCTGTTTAACTCGGTCCAAATAATAATGGAAAAATAAGATAAAAAGGAAAAAATGATAACTTTCTTCTTCAAAACAAACAAAACGAAAAAATAAAGTTACTTTTTCAAAACAAAAAAAAACAACAATAGAATATGGACCGAGTTTAACAGAAAGGAACCAAGCCACATCAGCGATTGCCAAGTTTAACTGGGCAATTAATTTTTTTACGAGAGAACAGTTGTTCGGATTTCTTTGAAAATTTTAAGGAACTTGCTTCGCACCACGAAAAATTTTCACTAAAATTTGCACGAAAATCCACACAACCGTTTTAATGTAAAAAATTAAATTGCTCAATTAAATTTGGCAATAGCTGATGTGGCTTGGTTCCTTTCTGTTTAACTCGGTCCAAATAATAATGGAAAAATAAGATAAAAAGGAAAAAATGATAACTTTCTTCTTCAAAACAAACAAAACGAAAAAATAAAGTTACTTTTTAAAACAAAAAAAAACAACAATAGAATATGGACCGAGTTTAACAGAAAGGAACCAAGCCACATCAGCGATTGCCAAGTTTAACTGGGCAATTAATTTTTTTACAAGAGAACAGTTGTTCGGATTTCTTTGAAAATTTTAAGGAACTTGCTTCGCACCACGAAAAATTTTCACTAAAATTTGCACGAAAATCCACACAACCGTTTTAATGTAAAAAATTAAATTGCCCAATTAAATTTGGCAAGCTGATGTGGCTTGGTTCCTTTCTGTTTAACGCGGTCCAATTCAGCTCATCCAAGAGCAAAAACAACACATCAAGGGGAGGTCATACAACAGAAGGAATCGCCAGGCGTAGCAAGCCTGACGTAACGTTTGCACACATTGCTATCACTTTTCAGAGTGAGACAGTACCTGATAGATCTAGGACCAAAATAAAGTTTTTTAAACGTTAAAAATACTGTAGAGGCCTAAAAATTGAGTGGTTTGCAGGGAATTTAACAGGAATTAAAACATTAAAACTTACTCTAACATTATTCTTCATTCTCTGGGCTGGTTTTCGTTTGCCTCCCATGATTGTAGATCAACTGGGTAACGTTAACAATTATCTGAATCGATCAGAATTTACAGTGAAGAAGACACATGCATGAAGAGAATTTTGCTCAAGCTGAGAAAACCTGCCTTGACGGAAACGCGCTCCATATAAAGTAAAACAACAATAGAATATAAAGAATATAAAATATATAAAGAGAAAGGTAGGAACTGGAATTCACCGAAAGGGTTGCAGGAAACACCTTACTTGCGGCCCTTTACCATTTCTTTGGCTTTCTTAATAGCTCTCTGTTGAACAGCTTGTAAATTCTTAACTTTATATTTGATATCTTGCCATCGTCTGCTTTTTAAGATACTGCCATACTGAGATATACAAGCTTCAGCATCTCCTTTCCCGATACATGTTTTGTCTCTAATTTGAATTCGGAAATATTCAAGGATCGAATTTTCTTCTGCTTGTGACCAAGGTCGTCGTTGAAAGGCCGCCTCACTTCTTGATGCTCCTGTTATTTTCACTTGATTTCTTTCTTCTTTCTGTCTTTTCCTTGGAAATTGGCATTCATCTGGAGACAAAAAGCAAAGAAGAAACAAATGAAAATCAGATTTTATTTTTTCATTACTTTTTGCATTTATGACTACTTTTATGAGCATATAGGAACGGAAAAAAATTGAGAGTCCCAATTTTTTCACCATATATTGACACAAAGCTAGAGGACATAGCGTTTAGTTCTCTGTCGACCTTGATCTAGGAGGAGGTGGTCCTAAGTAGTCAAAAATTTCTGGTTTAAAGCTTTGGAAACTTCTCTGAATATGGATCTTCAGGACGGACTGATGAGAATCTTTACTAAGTAATGAATGAACTACTTGAGTAACCGGATAAATCAAGTTTTAAAATTTAAGATTTAATCGTATTTAAGAAATAGAATACTGAAGATGAAAATTGACTCTACTTTAGGTCCTGTTCTGTCAATCTTGTGTGGATTGACAGTTGGTGTTCCCCAAGGATCAATCTTGGGACCTTTATGTTTCATTATCTTTGTTAATGACATTTTTCACACTAGGGTAACTTGAGGAAGTTTTTTCGAAATTTCAAGATGGTGAGGGCTGAAAAGTTGTGTTATGGCATTATAATGACGCCTAATTTTTTTCAGTATTTTTGGATGATGTACTGAGCCCGCCCCGACGCCATCTTTGGTGCCAAATTTTCGATTTTCTCGCGAAATTGCCAGGATTCTGTTGTTTTAAGGCCCGGAAAACGTATGGAATTAATTAAAATGCAATTCGAAATACTTCTGATATCATTTCAAACGATACCGGTCAGGATAAGACAGCCCCAACTTGCAGGGGGATGCCTTAAGGGACGCAATCTTGGACCGCTGAAATCCCTTAAAAATGCGCCTAAATATACTAATTATATTTTATGTTAATTTTCATAGGTTTCATTTTGCTCATATTTCGTGGTATGACTAATGAGACTTATCGGAAGACTCTGGTCCACTATTTTACGTATTACGATGTGGGGTTGGGGTGCAGGGGAGTGCCACAAGGATGTCATATTCCTAAGAAATGACAAATGAACCATCGGGCAAGAGAGGGCCTCTGATTCGTGGAATTCCTGGAAAAGTGTTTCTGCCACCTGAATTGAGAACTTCTCAGTTCAGTATGCTCAGGCTGATCGGAATATATGATATGACTGAGCTCTGTAGTAGTTCAACCTGGCAGCAGTGGAGATTTCCATGCGCTTCGCGGATCTTAGAGGAACAGAGGAACAAAGCAACTCGCCGTTCAACAACAAAAAAAAAAAAAAGGACAAAAATGTCTCCCGGACAAGATAAGGTGATCCTTAGGAATTCTGAGCTGCTGAATCTGTAAATGACCTCCGTTTTTCCATCACCCTCCAGTTTTACGGAAAAGCCGATTTAAACAGAAAAGATCTCCATTTTTGGTGTTTTTGCGACTGTTACTACCTGCAGAATGTAGGTCAAATTTTTCTTGAGAACGAGATAAGAATACACCTATGTATTTCCAGCCGCTGAGTCCGAAAATGGCCTTTATTTTTCTCTATCACCTCTCAGTTTTCCGGAAAAGCGACTTTTCCCGGGAAAATGTGATAACCTTCATAAAAAGTATTTTCAATACACTTTGCGTCCAGGAAAGCTTTTACACAAAAGGGTTATTTTTTTTTTTATTGAACAGTGAGTTGCTTTGTTCCTCTGTTCCTCCAAGATCCGCGAAGCGCATGGAAATCTCCACTGCTGCCAGGTTGAACTACTACAGAGCTCAGTCATATCATATATTCCGATCAGCCTGAGCATACTGAACTGAGAAGTACTCAATTCAGGTGGCAGAAACACTTTTCCAGAAATATCCACGAATCAGAGGCCCTCTCTTGCCCGATGGTTCATTTGTCATTTCTTAGGAATATGACATCCTTGTGGCACTCCCCTGCACCCCAACCCCACATCGTAATACGTAAAATAGTGGACCAGAGTCTTCCGATAAGTCTCATTAGTCATACCACGAAATATGAGCAAAATGAAACCTATGAAAATTAACATAAAATATAATTAGTATATTTAGGCGCATGTTTAAGGGATTTCAGCGGTCCAAGATTGCGTCCCTTAAGGCATCCCCCTGCAAGTTGGGGCTGTCCTATCCTGACCGGTATCGTTTGAAATGATATCAAAAGTATTTCGAATTGCATTTTAATTAATTCCATACGTTTGCCGGGCCTTAAAACAACAGAATCCTGGCAATTTCGCGAGAAAATCGAAAATTTAGCACCAAAGATGGCGTCGGGCCGGGCTCAGTACATCATCCAAAAATACTGAAAAAAATTAGGCGTCATTTTAATGCCGTAACACAACTTTTTAGCCCTCACCATCTTGGAATTTCGAAAAAACTTCCAAAACGGTCCACCCTAGGACACACATCCTCATGAGGAGCTCGTGGGATTCTTCATAATGAAGCTCATGCAAGTGATTGACCTTTCTTTATATAAACCAGATAAAAAATCACCAACCTCGAACATTTCCAATTGCTTTAAGAGGTTTTCGAGTTCTAGGAACAGTTCTCAGAGAAGTCGTTGGTTCATAGGTGTCCAGAGCTAAATCTTCCTCCTCCATTTCATCTTTCTCTTCATGGGTTCCATTAGTTTCATCTAGTTTTTCAGTTGTTTCATTTTCCTCTTTTTTTCCGTCGTCTTCTTCCTCTTCTTCTTCTTCTTCTTCTATTTCCTCTTCATCTTTATCTTCATCTATATTGGAGATGTTCAGAGGTATTTCTATGGAGTAAAAATAGTTAAAGTTAAAGAATAGAATAGAACAGATGTTCATTTAATACATAAGAGTACAATGGGCCTGTTGCAAACTTTTGCTGGAGCAAATATGAGAGTTGTTTCTTATAGATAATGTCTCAAAAATCACGATGAATGCATCGGCAAAGTCCGAAATGCACTCATAACTTCACAATCTGCGTAAGAAATTTGCGGTTTTTTAAGCTTCCCGCTTCAAAAACGATACTACGGCACAGGTGAACATTTTGTTAGAGGAGTCGTTCCGTCGTCGGCAATATTCATCATGGCCGACGCCAAGCCGCCAAAACACGTGTAACGGGACGAGAAAACACCTGACTAGGATAAGACTAGATAACAATCGGCGTTCGTAATCGTTCATATTTTCCTCGCCCGCCTTAATTGACCTTGACCTCTTCTCGAACTACGCACGGAACTGCGGAAGCGTCGGCCAAGATGAATATTGACGACGACGGAACGACTCCTCTAACAAAATGTTCACCTGTGCCGTAGTATCGTTTTTGAAGCGGGAAGCTCAAAAAACCGCAAATTTCCTACGCAGATTGTGAAGTTATGAGTGCATTTCAGACTTTGCCGATGCGCTCATCGTGATTTTTGAGGCATTATCTATAAGAATCAACTCCTATTTTTGCTCTAGCAAAAGTTTGCAACAGGCCCATTGCTTACAGTAAAGGTAAATTTCCCATTTGTAGGAAGCAAAGTTAGTGTGATCGTAGTATAAAAACCAGCAGGGTGTTTGTTCATCCGGGTTAATAAGTGGATCTATACAGAGAAATTGAGCGGTGCTATTGGTGAGGTCAACTCACCAAGAAAGTCAACTCCCAAACTTAAAAAAAGCTCTCAAATTTGAGCCAGTAATGGTGGTGGATTCTGACTTTACAGAGTCTACATCTGTAATTAATCAACTTTTTCATGCAGACATAGGACTGAATACATGAGCAAGGTTACCACGACTGTATATAGGCGAAAAATTACCTACTTGAAATTTTGAGTACGGGCTCAACTTGGAGAGCTTTCTCAGAGCTTGGGAGCTGAATTTGGACCAACCCAGTGGCATCAGCGCTTTTTCTTAGAGTTTAATGTTTGACAGGGTGAATGAGACATACATCCTCCCCTTTTCTGGTAAGAGCTCCTTTGTCTTCTTCTATTTTTCTATATCAATCTATTTATCTACTACTGTCCTGAGAGTCCACCTCTATATCAAAACAAACTCTCTAAGCAAAGATAGGGAGAGAATACATTGGCAGGGTTGCCATGTTTTCAGTTTTATAATCCCCAAATAAAGTGACAACCGCGTTAATGTATTTGCTCCCTATCTTTGCATGGAGAGTTTGTCTTGATATAGAGGTGGACTCTCAAGGTAGCGTGGGATAGCCCCTCCATTACGGCCTCAACTTTGAGTGCTATTTTTGAGCTTTGGAGTTGATTTCAGAGAAAACCAGTGGCACCATCGTGTTTCTCGCGAGATTTTACAAAGGAATCCTATATATTAAAATGCAAAGTCCCGAATCTTGGGGCATTAACTTTGAGAGAACCACCGGACCGATTTGCATGGGATTTTTTTTAAATGAAAGCCCCTGAGCTGTAGATTTGCAGGCTGTGATCGTTTTTTTTATTTTCTCAAATTTTCTCCCATAATTTTCTAAAATTGTCTTCGATGCATTAAAACGGAGGTCCGAATCTTTGGACGTTAACTTTGAGAGAACCACCGGACCGATTTGCATGGGGTTTTTTTTGAATGAAAGCCTGTGATCTGTAGATTTACAGGCTGTGGTCGTTTTTTCGTTTTTCTCAAATTGTCTTACTTTTATCAACGAGTGAAGTTTAGCTGGGCTCAAATTTTCTCCCATTTATTCTGACTAAAGTCCGCATTTTGGGGCATTAACTTTGAGAGAACCATCGGACCGATTTGCATGGGGTTTTTTTTAAATGAAAGCTTCTGATCTGTAGATTTGCAGGCTGTAATTGTTTTTTCGATTTTCTCAAATTTTCTTACTTTTATCGACGAGTAAAGTTCAGCTGTTTTGAGCGGTCATCCGGCCGCTACCTGCTTGCCCGTCCCTAGATACCCCCTCTAGGGTCTCAGCCACCCCTCCCACCACGTTCTTTCGGCTATCTCCGTTTTCTTTCGTATAGCTCTCCTTCCACCAACCTCAAAGAAGGAAGTTTGGGTCGCATCGTCGTTCGTCAGTTCGTCACTCGCCACCCACATTCCTTCGCCATCCCTCGGCTACTCTGCCTCACAGCTTCTTGATATCCTGGCATCTTATTCTCTGCGGCTTGACTGACCCTGACTTATTAACTGCAGTATTGCGTATTGCTAACAACACGTATTGTTACAGACATTTTATTCATCATTATTAAGTAGATTCAACTAATTGCTCCGATTCCAATTAAGGTACTCACCACCATTGCTAGCTGTGGAGGGCGCCCGTAGGGCGTCCGGAGCAGCTAGTCAGCATTTAAATCGCAAATCCCTGACACATGCAAGAACTCCAATGAGGGGCTCTAATGTTGGGGAAGAGCACTCAGTGGGGTACGTCGTATGTACAAACAGTGGGCGACTCGCCATTTTGGTGAATTTCTTTGTCTTAGGTTAACAATTCTGCAACAATGTTACTTGTTTACACTCTAACATTAAGGTGTTTCAAAAAACCTGAATTTAGCTTAGATTCTCCCGCGCCACGGCGCGAGGGGACCGGAGCGGCCAACGAATCGTACGTGGGAATCGGTAAGCATGTTCGAATGCGATTCCTGTCTATTTGAAGGGATGAATACATTATGATGATAAGTTTTCATCGTCTTTACACCTCCTCCTGCATCAGTTTCATATAAAATTCTTAGAAATATTGTCACACCTCGCCGAGAAAAACACTGTTGAACAATTTCTGGCAAATCCTTATGGGATTTCCCATGTTAATGTTAATGCGGGACTCCTAAAAAATAGATTTTAGAGTTCGAATTTTGCATAGGGCCTCTTAACAGTCTAAAGATGAGTTTTCAGCCCGGCCTGTACCAATTTTCGAAATTCGGGTTTTTTGAAACACCCTACTCTAACATGCTATTAATGAAGTGGCGAGCCTAAAGTACGCAATCAAACTGAATAATTTTAAAAAAATTGATTTTAACACTGAATTAAAGCTAACTGAATAAAAACGCCCCTCTCTTCGTACATTTCCCCTACCGATAATTGTAAATAAATGAATAAATACTGGAAAAGATTAATCATAAAAAATGAATTACCATCCAGCGTTATATCGTCAAGGTTTTTCCCTTTGAATTGGACTAAATTTCCACTATCTATGGCAAGTAATAGCTTGGACACTTTGGCGATTTCAAGGGCAGTTTCGTGCTGTCTGTAGTAAGTAAGATGAACATCTAAATTATGCCCAAGGTGTTTCGTGACCCAAGACATTTGATTTTTGGGGAGGTTTAAATACTGTATTACGGTGGCGGTGTACTTCCGCATTGCTCGGGCCGATAACAGTTCCGGGCGTTTAATGTTCGTTTGCTTCAGAAGGTACGTGACACATTTATCACCCCTGATACTGTTCAAGGAGTTCCCATCTACGATGGGGAAAACGAACGGATTTTCGGGATTGATAAATTTGGTAATTTCCTCATGACACCGATACTCAACGAGCATCTCAATTCCTTTCACAAGAGTCGTAGGAACAATAAGCCAAACATGCCCTTTTCTTTTATTGTCAACTTGTACTACTTGATACACTTTACAAAGTCGTTTTTCTAGAGAAGAAAGTGTTTGTAGAAACTCATCAGTGGCATGCACTTCCTTTGGTCGGGCCTTCCAGTCGGAAAGAAGCAAACGCCCGGCAATTCCGCTTCTCTGTTTATTAAACGTAGTTAGTTTTGCAGAACATACATAAATGAGTTGCCGGTATGTCTCTTTTGATGGATTTTGCTCAAACTCTGTAATTGCCTTCATCAAATTCCCATCTAGAGAATTTGAAAAAGCCTTAACATCTTCTGTTAGAGGAAGCTCCTCTACTCTATTTTTGTGCCTGACGGCGAAAGTACCTAGAGCGTTACTCGATACTCTTTCACACCACTCGTTTTCGTAGAGTTTTAAAAAGCCTTTATATCGCTGTAAATCGGGTTTACTATATTTTCGGAGCGCTTGTCCTTGTAGTATCTGCGCACAGCGCTGCAAATGATAACCCAGTTTCAAGGCCATAGATGGAGTGCCAAAAGTCGACTTCTCAGTGACTTTTTCACTTGGTCGAAACTGACACTCAAGAAGCACTGCATCAACTACAAGGTCAAAATTTTCTGCGTTGATGAAGTGCGATAAAGGCAAAGGTTGCACGGGATGGGCCGAATTATTCAACCGAATCGAGTTGATGGACCTCAAGAGACGGGCCAGTTGGCGCATGTCCTGCCGAATATATTCGTACTTGGCCATGTCGTTAGCCTTCCTATATTTATATAATCCGAATTGCTTTATCAATTCGTCCTCTCTGATTAGAGAACCTAGCTCGTCGCTCAATAAATTATTTAATACTTTTTCATTAAAATTAGTATCGGAGGTACCACTGTACCCTATCAAAATGGACCTTGATTCCTTCAAGACTTGCCTCCTTTCTCCGGCTTCCTCTTCATCAGTGAAATTCCTCTTTGAAGAGGATTTCGCAAGGGGACAAACCTTGACATGATCAAATAATCTACTTAGTACGGCAAAACCGTGACATTCTGGACACGGTCCATAGTCTGAATATGATAAATTTTTTTCCTCTTCAGACGTCCTTTTGAGGACGACCAACTCTCCTTCACCTTTTTGTAAGACTTCCATGTTGTGATGAAAATCCCCTAAGCGGGTGAGGTACGTGAGCTGCTTTCTCCTTTCGGGAGACTTGGCTGGATGTATAGACGCTTGCAAAACTAACGATTCATTTTTGTGAAATGTATCAAAATGCCGACTCATTTTGTTACTTTCAGCTTTGAAACAATAATAACAATAGCGTACTTTATCATATTTTCTGGATCCTTTAATAACTTGTTTAATAACGACGTTCGGTTTCAAGTTGAGCTTGGTTTTTTGGAGATTTTTTTTCTCCTCTTCAAAGTGTTCTACAATTTCATCCTCTTCTACAGTTTCCACGCAAGGAGTTTCTAGGGGCTTTTTCTGAGTCTCCTCAGAAGGCTCTACTTCTGTCTCTTGGAACCTTTTCTGCGTATCATCAGAGAGCTCTACTCTTTTCTTTTGGGGCTTTATCCGTTTCTTCTCTAATGCTTTCTTTTGGGGCTTCTGCTTCTCCTCAGGGAGCTCTACTTCTTTCTCTTGGGACTTTCGCTGTTCATTCACTACTTCTTTGTCTTGGGGCTTCTGCTTCTCCTCAGGGAGCTCTACTTCTTTCTCTTTAACATTTTCCATACATGGAGCTTCACATGCACTCTAAAAATAAGAAAAGAAAATTAAAAGAGAAGATTAGAATCCATTTATGAATTAAAAAGATTTGAGTCATCCCGTAAAGGAGATTATATCACATAAAGAAAAATGCCATATTTAGGGGACTGATAAAAGGTCATCTGAGAAGCCCAAAACGGTCAGTGTTTAGCCCCGTCGGTCCGTGTGCCGCCGGCGGATTTTTCCAGCACAATAACTGTGGACGGGGGTTGGGGGAAGGCGTCCTGGGTACAAGTGGAGTTATGCAATACTGTGTGGATAATTTTAATTTAAAATCAAACCTCATTGCAGTTTAAAACTTCCTCTCCAGTAATCGATGCTATATTTTTTATTTTGCCTTACGGTTCCAAATATCGTGGACATTTTTTTTCTTTTTCTTTTTTTTCCGGAAAACAGTAAGCCTTAAATCAGTTCACCGTATTGGTATGAACGGTTTAAAAGAGACTACTGCTGTGAAGTACCTCTTGGAGGACGAGTGTTCCATAAGGTTCTTGATACCATCGCGGTTCACTGTAGATTGCAAGATAAGAGCTCCTTCATAACATTCATTTGCGATACCAACACATGTAGTACAGCTTACTAATTCCGGAGAAAAAGAGAGGAATAAAACCAATTTCCACGATATTTGGAACCGTAAGGCAAAATAAAATTCATAGCATCGATTACTGTATTATTCCATAATGGACCACTAGACAAGGTACGAATTTAAGCAATCTGATACATGTTTCTTAACCAGAATTTCACGTAGAACACAATTCACACTACGAAAATTACCGAAATCAACTCCTAACGAAGATATTAACGTTTTTACTTCGCATTGATTACGAGGAATTTGAACTGCCCGCTCACAAGAAACTCAAAGCTCTACGTGAGTCAAATCGCCCACTACAACGGTTTCAGAAAGCTTCTCAATCGAGCAATGTTCATTTCCCACCATGTGTTGTTCAAACTATTAGTAATTTGCTATAGCTGAGCCAAAGTGTCAAGATTGAAGTTGAAGATTTTTACATCGCAGAGACTGTCATGATAAACATTTAGCGCGCGATGTGAATCACGTAGAGCATTGAGTTTTCATGAGCGGGTGGTTTGAATTCACGCATCAAGAATCATTAAATATCTTCGTAAGGAGTTGATTTTGGTAATTTTCGTTGTGCGTATCGTGTTCTACGTGAAATTTTAGTTAAGAAACATGTATCAGAATGCTGAAATTTGTACCTTGTCTAGTGGTCCATTTTATGTCAGGTGAATGGAGAGGAAGTTTTATACTGCAATGAGGTCTGATTATAAATTAAAATTATCCATACAGTAATGCATAACTGCACTTGTACCTCGGGTTCCTCCCCCCACCCCCGTCCACAGTTATGGTCCTGGAAAAGTCCGCCGGCGCGGCGGCGTGACACCACACGCGGAGAGCCTCATGAGGTGCGTCGCACCAACTTTGAACGACTATAGCGCGGTTAGAAATCATTTTTTCAGGATGATCTTGGGCTCATTTTAAAGATTTGATTGTCTAGTTTTAGAAAAAAATAGATTTGAAGTTCCGATAACAATGCCCGAAAGCACGGGATCAAAATTACGAGAAAAAGGCCGGAAGAAAAGGGGATACATGGGAAAATCATAACACGGTCAAAGAAAAAAATTGTTTCAAGTTAAACCACTTAAAATTACAGAGTTTCTTACGCTGAATCCAACTCAAAAATGAAAATTGCAATAGCTTGAACCGTTCAAAAGTTATAAGCATTCAAACATTTTGACTTTGACGCCCCCCCCCCCCCCCCCCNTCCCCGGAGTTCATTGCAAACAACCGACCATTTTTAGGCTTCTCAGGTCATCTTCTACAAGTTCCCAACATATGGCACGATTCCCCGAGGCGGGGGCGGAAAACGTCAATTGTGGATAGTGTCCTTTTAAACATTTAATCACTTCGCTCAGATTCGAATTTTTATTGATTAGCAATATCCGAAGAAATTGGAAAAATCCTCACTATTACAGTGAGAAAACCCAAAAATCATCATTAATATAAACTTCGAAGGATTCAGCCTTTTTCTATTTCACTCGAGGGGAAGTGTCCCCTCCCCGCCTCTCTTCCCCACCCGGTGACTGACGCTGCGCTGTGCTGAACGGTTCAGCCTGAACCTTTCCCCTACGTCGGACCGTTCCCCACTCCTCTCTCAATCGAACCATGCCACCGCTTACGTATTGTCATTTTGTCTCTCGCCCACCCAGGTACCTAGCGGCCAGCGGTCAGTTGATGATAAATCTCGCTCATGCACGCAGCTACGCATTGATTACGCCAGCTAATTACGTTCCGAATAATTAGAATTTCTTCGATAATAGTTTTCTTTATTTATTTGACTGTATTTTTTTCTCTGTTCTACTGTGATTTCCTTGGTTCTCTACTGTGTTTTTCCTAAATCTCTTCGGTGTTTTTATTTTATCGTGCTCATGCTCTTTGTTGTTTTTCTGAATTGTTTTCTCTGTTATACTGTGTTTTTCTTGAATCTCTTCTGCGTTTGTCTCGGTATATACCAAACTACTTCAATTGTCTGACCCGAACTTCGACAGGTGGACCTTAACTTTTCGGATGCGTGATCCGAAAACTTCAGAGATCCATATGATCTCAGCTTCGGGTTCCATGCACAAATTTTTTTCTCCGTGTTTCCTTTTAGGAAACGCAACTAAAATTTCAGTAAATGTTTTCAGAAAAGTAAAAAAAAAAAGTGGCTAACGATGGTTCCTCACCTTCTCGTGGTGTTGGCTGTTTTTACTAATTGTAAGTGGGAACCGTCCATTTTATGATATAGTCTATTTCTTGCCCTGCCATTATTATTCTACAAGTTAATTGTGGAGTGAAAATTTGATAATGTTTTTTATGAAATCTTCAAAATATAGTGATAAAACATTTGCAACTACTACAAAATCGGCTCGCGAAGCGAGCCGAATGNGAGTGACCGGGGGTCCAGGGGGCGCAGCCCCCGGCTAGGCGTGACGGGCGCTCGCGCCCAGAACGGCTAGTAAAATAAATTTTTTAAAAGAAATACCGCACAAAAACCAAAGTAAATAAGACTGGTGGATGCTCAAAAAAACTTACTGAAAAAATACATGGGTTTGAAAAAAACAAATTTAGAAAACACTTTGATACCAAAGAAAAGAGAGGAAAAAAGAATAAAAGTTCCAATAAAATGCGCATAACTACATGCCTAAACGAAAAATAAAAAATCGGAGCGTTCAAAACCCATAGAAGCATTATTTTCAACATCTTGACTACGTTGAAAGCATTAAACCAACACCAAACCAGGACAGTGCCTTTATTTACTCGTACCGCATTCTTTGCCTCTACGCCCCCGAAAAACAATGAAACAAAATAAGAAAAACGCAATATTTATTTCGACCGCTAAATGGATCATCTGAAGCTGTCTGAATTCAAACAAATTTTATTTGTAAATGGAAACTACCCATATCGTAACAATATCTCGTTAAGTTGATCACCGAACTTCCCGTTGTGTGAATGGTTTTTTACGCAAAATTTTGAAGAAAGGACAAGTGACGTTTATTTCTAAGTAAAACCTTGTCTAGTGGTCTTTTATTCGAAATACCTACTTTCTCTTTCATCTGCTCGCTTCAATCCGAAAGAACAATGACGTCATTGATGAAAGCCCCGTTCCCACCTAACATACGGTTACGCGGCGTCACTGGAACCTACACTAGAAACGGCGCGGCTAGCGACGATGCACTACGCTTCTGCCGTAAATCCTTCACCCACGGCGATTTCCATGACGAAAAACGTCGCGGGCAGCCGAGTAATCAGCTGACCGAGAAAAAATCGCAGTGGAAAAAAGAAAAACCACGCATTCCTCGCGGGATGAACGGAATAACCGATCGTTCAAAGGGCGCAAGGGGCGCGGAACCCGCCACTCAATCCCTCTATTTTCCCGCTATCGGGGGACCGGGATGGTCAAGCCGTTACCACCCGCGCTCGGATACGTCCGGCGGTCCCCGCTGAATTTTGACCCGAAGGATCGGGCTTACGGAATTAAATATAGTGATGACGATGCTGATACATCGGTCTTACGACGCTAAAGTCGCTGGACGGGGCGGCCCTCATGGAGCATGAGCAAATGAAGTGTAATTTCGCGTATAGTCAAAAAATGATTTCTCACGTAGAGAGCAAATTTGCCGCTTTGAAGTTGCCCATGATTTTCAAAGAGGATTGAGATGACTCGTCCGAAGATGGAATAAATTCGAAGTGGAAGTTGACCCAACTTTGATCTTCTTCAAATCCTTCAAATAGTTTTTCCCTCCTTTTTTTCTCACTCTCAATCTCCACGGGGAAAAAGTATTAGGGGTTATTTCCTAAAATTGTGGTACTACCCCTATTTGTAGGATGATATGGGCATTTTCAATTGATTGTGGTGGTACTGCAACTCAAGTTGGAGTAGCGCCGCAACATTTGGTTCAGTAACCTATTTCTTGGGGTACCACCACAATAATTGGAAATGCTCATATTATCCAACAATCCTTACCGCTTTCTTCCGTGTCCCTCCCTTCTCTTTTAGAAAAAAAATGAATAAAAATAATCCGAAATATGCTGCCCAATGCAATGGTAACCTCGATACCCCTTAAATCCGGCTCTGATAATATAAAACTGACGTGAGAGATCTACAGCTTGCGCAGTCTGGCAGGACACTTTTAGGGGGAGATAAAGATTCATATTAATACAATCAGCACACTCTATGAATCATATTTTAGTAACTTCCCTTTCTTTTTCGTTTCACATAACTTATAAATTGATTAAGAAATTTAATTTAAAAATATAAAAATTTGAATGACAAATCCGTAAAGGTTTCAACTCAGTGTACTGGCAATGCTGCAGAAGTCTGAGAAAAGTTTTATAATGCATTTAAATCAAAGTGAAGTTGGATACTTTACGTAATTTAGTTACCTATGCTTATTTCAATTATGGATAATTTATACTATTATACCTCTTCTCTCCTATTACTAATAATTGATTAGATATCTTCTCTATATCTATTTATTATATATATTAAAGTGCTATTTTATAGCCAATAAAAAGTGATTCGATTTACAAAACAAAAAGAGTATCAGTAAAAATGTAATAAAATTCCTTGCCACTTACTTTGTTTCTAAAGAAATGAACGGCAATGCCGCGCGGCACAACACCGTTTAGATCATCTATGATCAGCTCATCCAAAAGCGAGTCATCAAATAGGTTGTCTGAAAACAAAAATTCAAAACACATTGGTAAAAACATGATAATAATATTACTGAGCAACAATTTAATTTTTTTTAATCTTTCATATTTTTCTAAGATACTTTGTCAAGTCAAGAACGCCCAGGGCAAAATTAAAATCGCAAATTCCTTCTCCCATGTTACTCCATGTTGTATCTCCAGCCATACTTCTATGCCTAGGAGAGATAAAGACTGCTCAACTGCCCCAAAAATTTGAGCGCTCAATGGAAAGCGCGAATCAAGAGGTAAACAAAAAACCAACAGGATGACAAGTTTTTTAGATGAACAGCCTTTGCCACAGGCAAAAAAGTAAAGGATTTCTATTTGGCAACGACGCTTTTGCTCAATGCTACCTTAGCATTTTCGCTCAGCAAGAAGTACATATATTTTTTTCATGAAAAATATAAAAAAATACAAGAAAACACTAATAAATGTAAAGCAATAATAATTCTGAAGTAAAAATATTTTTGAAAATAAAGAAAAAGAAATTGAAAAAAAAAAGTTTCGAGTAACTCGAGGTATCAATCTCCGACCAATGGAAGCATTTTAGAGCGTTGCCGGATAGTGCAAAATTTCAATATTTCAATTATTGTTTTTATTAGGCAACATCAGCCAATCGATGTATCGATCTTGGTCTTACAGCGTTGCCTGATGGTGCGAAAAAGTTTAGGTTCAGGTTTCACTGCGTTCGTCACGGCACGTGCTACATTCCATTAAAAAATGTTAACGCCTTACACGATCGTTTCGTTTAAAACCTTATCGTTTAATATCATCATCGTTTTATAACGTCATCGTTTAAAAATGGCATCACTCAATAACGACAACGTATAAAGGTGTCATTGTTTAATAACGACTGCATTTACAGGGTGTCTAGTTTCTTCCCACTCTCTCATTCCCGGTGTTTTCCCGGGTTTTCACCGATTTTTTGAAGATTTAATGAGCCCATGTATGGGACGTGCTTCCTCATTTTTCGCAAAAACTAATGAAGCTATGAAAATGCCAATGGATCAGTTGCGCTGGTCACAGAATCGATGCTTTTTTTTTTATACCAATTTCAAATAGCCTTTGGCTAATCCCACGCTTAATACCCCAGCCCCAGGTGATCATTGCCTGAGACCATCAAACTCAGATCACCTGGCCGGGAATCGAACCCGGGACCTCTTGGTCATAGGGCCAGCGCTACAACCACTGCACCACAGGAGGCCGACGAGGCTTGATTATTGTAGATTAGCTAAAAATAAAAAGATTTGCCCAAACAGCAACTTTCTACGTTCAATATTAACCAAGACACCGCGCTTTGAAAAATTCGGTTTGAGACGTCATCCACTCCACTGTGGTAGGGACACCCTTGATTTCTTCCACCTTGCTTTCATCCGAGTCTCACGTCGAGTAACCAGTGCAAATGTGCGTCTCCCTGATTGACGAAAGCAAGGTCGAAGAAACCCAGGGTGTCACTACCGCGGTAGATGACGTTATAAGCCAAATTTGTCCAAGCGCAATATCTCGGTTAATATTGAATGTAGAAAGTTGGTGTTTGTATAGATCTTATTATTTTTAGCTAATCTGCAATAATCAAGCATCAAAACACAATTCTGTGACCAGCGCAACTGACCCGTTATACCATTAGAAATGTTGTATTTTTGTGACTCATTTTAAAAGCGGAACCTATATTTAGTGGATGTAATCCACTTCGCGAAGCTCTTCGACGATACTCAGAATTTCACGATCGTGATCGGTGTGACCAGCTTGTTTCGAAGCTACAAGTAAAACGAGACGTTGGACTAACTCGTTCGGATCGTCCCAATAGACGAGTTCCCGTTTCGCACGATTAATTTTGATACCGGAGCCTTTCTTCAATTTTTTACGCGGTGACTTCCTCGTTGATCTCGGAGTCGATGTAGCGAACAAAGGTTTGATAAGATCGCGGTATTTACGACTGCGGTTCGACTAGCGTCTACCGTGTGGATCATGATCCCAACGATGCGCATTGGTGAGCGTAACTACTCGTTGGAATTTAGGCTATACAAGTGTCAATCTAGTCAGTGAGCAGTGTCACTGTTGACCCGGTCATATCCTCCACCTACCAAGCTTTAGCAAGTAGCCTAGCTGCAATCATCGGAGCAATCCGCCCGCCATTCTAGTGTCCACATCGTTGTGCTTCCTTGTGTACTTCCAAAAATAAAGTCTTGGTCATCCTCAAGTCTAGTCTCATCATTACTCGTCACGAGGTAAATATTCACCTGTAACAGCTCTACCAACTGAGTTGATAGGGACTCAGTTCCATTTACAATTCTCTATCTGGTGGCGCCACCAAATTAACTATTAGCAAATACGGGGGCTGATTGTGAGACTGAAGCACGTCTGAGCCTGGAAAGCATTTGTAGAGAAGGTTCTCATCCCAGCCCTACAGACCTCCAAACGTGGAACCCTCCGTTCCAATAATGCTAGTACTCCCCGCTGTTCGTAAGGGGTAACAGAAAAGTGACTAAGCGCGTTTGAATAAGTGTCATGGGCAGTGGTCAGTTGTCTTTGCTCTTAGACTGAATTAGTGAAGCCTCTAGCAGATAAATTCTAACATTTGCGTTGTCTTCCCGAAGAGTAATCCCTTCTCAACTGTGTTGGTTCAAATTGTGACGGAAAGGAAATTAACATGAGCCTTTTTCTTCTAACATAAAACTTGTGATAAATACGAAAAGTGGAGAGTTAGAGGAGCTAACAGAAGCAATTTAATTCTTCGGATTGTAGAGTAAGTGAGAAATAATTGAAAAAAAGAAGTCTAGTGTGTACTGACCTTTGAAAGCCTGTAAGAAATTCATCCCCTGAGGGAACGTTGACAATATTTTTTCAATATTTTTGAAGGAAGTCATTTTTGATTGAGGCCCTGTTAAAAAAAAGAACATTTCATGGTGAACAATGTAAAAGGTATGACAAAATATGTATGATAAACTTAGATCTAACATTGAAAGTTGTACACTTGAACATGCATTACTCAGACTTTCAAATTTCTGATAGAAGGTGGACGTAAAATAGAACATGCACTGGCGCGCTGTAGAAAAAAATGTGTTTCATAATGAACACTACATAATGTATAACGAAAAGTATAATAAAAGTAAGTCTAACATTGAAAGTCATATAACTGAACATTAATTGGTTAGACTCAAATTTCTGCTTTTTTTAAACAATAAAGGACGTAGTTTAACATCCTACAAACCTGTACGGTTGGTTTGGTGACGTAATGACGTGCTGCCATTGTGTAAATACGCATGATTTAAAGTGACTCTTTTACTTGCAGTAACTGTATCGACAGCAATTTTACCAATATCTTTCATAAACATCCCTTTCTGTATCATACGTAAAGTCACCTCAGAGTGGTCTCAATGTTAAAAGAGACCAAAAATATTGCCTCGCACTATCCCTTCCAACATATCCCCCACCCTGTTAGAGGGTGAATTGCTTCCTAAAATGTGTTAGAATTCCATGGAACCAGAAAAACTAAATGATGATTGGAACATGGTGCACACTCGTAGTGCACATTTCCAAACATTTCTAGAGGAAATCCTTCGTTGCCGAGTACAAATATTGCACTGACCAGGTGCATAGTGGTTGAAGTAATCAGACCACAATAATTACAGCTGAAAATGCATCAAAGCTGACATCTCTATCTGATTAGAGGGATAAGTGGATTATCTTAGTGATTTCTATCTGCACGAGTCCTCGCTGTCGATAAAATACAGTTTCACTGAAAATGAAGATATCCTGAAAATTTCAAAGCATTCATGATGAATGAAACTAGTTTTCTCTGCTCTGAAATGAGTTTATTATTCCTTCGACTTTAATAGTCTTCCATTGCGTCTTGCCGTAACAGTAACTCAACGCGATTAACTAAGTGTTCGACGGTCCATTGCATAGTTCCGAGAGTTAATGACTAGCAATGACTGGCAAGTTTCGGGTTTCCTCATCAAAGATGTATATTTACGGTTGGTGAACTACAATTCTACTGATTCTGCAGAAACCTATTTCTTGGGTGAACATGTCCATCGGTTGTCATATACTTTGCTACGTAGATCGTGTTGATATCAAGTTCGGTTTACCATGACCGAACCTCTCGATACTTTCATTGAACTCAACAGCTGCATTGCTGTTTAACTTGACGGAGATGGATTTCTGAAGAGGGTCGGCAGGAATTTCTAGGAGAGATCGGGTCCGCAATTATAGAGTGCGTCAGATCATGGAAGTCGAAAATGACATCGTATTTGACGTCATGACCTAACAGCTTGTCTAGTACGATCATTTTAACAGGATGACGTCTTCCACCACGGTTGTGCATACCATGGCTTCCTCCACCTTGCTATCTTCAATCAGTGAGACACACTTTTACACTGGTTGCTCGACGTAAAACACGGATGAAACAAAGGTGAAAGAAATCATGGTATCCACAACCACGGTGGATGACGTCATGAACCTAGATTTTCAGAATATCTCGGTCAATTTTTTTACTCCGTCTACACGAAGATGTACACCAATTTTTTTTATTTTTTTCTGATCGCTCCAAAAGTCGATCGTTGCGTTACTTTTTGGACAACCTATGTAAAATAGGCAATTTATGAGCAGGTGATGGCAGGAAGAAAGTGAATCAGGAAAGAATTTACGTACCTTTAAAAGCACCAGAAAAGTCCATCCCATGCGGGAAGGACGCTAAAATTGCAGCGACACGTGTGAACTCCATCCCCGCGCACTACGCTTCGCCTACTGTCTGGCGTGCTTAGATCTAGAGTACCTGTATAGTGAGAGTATGGACAGATCGCTTCATGGAGGTCTTAGGGCCCAAAAGTGCAGCTATCCATCCTTCTAACCAACTTCTAACACACAAAATTTCACTGCCAGTCTGCAGAGTTTGTAGATTCCAATTCTATGACCAAGATGGCCAAAAATGTACAGAAATGAGCGTTCTTCCGCAAAAATGATAAATATATGCAAAAACTGTGTCAAATACGTGCTTTATAAACGACGGCTCTTAACAACAGGATTAGTAGATCGTTCTGGATAATTGAAATTCATAGGTTGGCTGCCCTTTTGGGCCCTAACTTTATTCGCGGAGGCATCGGTGAAGGCCTGATGGATTTTCGGAGTTTCACATATGTCCATACTCTCTCTATACAGGTACTCTACGTATTGTTAGATCTACAACAACGACGCGAGCAGCGAGCGTGCAGCGGTGCCACGTCTACGATGAGACTTCACTATCACCATCACTACATATCACAAACCTTCCTTGCGGTAATGCGACGGAAAGTACCAATACAGGGCCGGATTTGAGGGTTTTCCACCAAGGGCTCACAACAATTTGCCGCCCCTAGATCTTTAGAGTGACTACCGGGACTACCCCCCCCTTTTTTTACAAACAATGTTTAACGAGATTGAAACGCAAAAATAGAAGGTTAACACTTGCAAAATCCACCGTCTCGTTTCCATGATTTGCTGCTCCGCCGCTGCAGTTGTCTCAGCCGGACGTGACGTCATGGGGCCAGCGGCCCCGCTGCACCGCGCCCGAGCCTTGGTTTGACGTCGCGGACCGCGGTCCTTGGCTAGGTTCAAGGGCTGTTTTAGGCGTCACCCTTTCACTTTTGGGTGCCTCATCTCGTTACATACCCCCCCCCTCCTCTGGGAAGGCCAAGTTTAGCTTGGATTTACTGTCGCTGGTGACGTCCCCCAGCCCGAAGACTGCAGATCGCGCCGGTAAACACACAATAATTGCAATTTATATATTTTGTTGAACTCTTATCCTATATTTCTACAATATTCAATCTAATAATCCTGTTCATCACTCATAGAACAACTTTAACATTATAAATAAGATTATCATGTAGTATAATAAAAATATATTTATCATACATATTAATTAATTTAAAACAAAACACAAATGGTGGAATCAATATCAATTCTACATCAAGAAGTAGAAAAACGATTGAAACCAGATTCCAGATCTATTCCAAATTCAGAAGTAGAAAAGTTTTCAAAATTTTACTCGTTTCACTCAAATTGCGTCGGCGGGGGGAGGGGGGGGGGCGTTCGCCCTGGGCCCCCTGGAAGCAGAGTCATGGGGGGGGGGGGGGGGGGCGTTCGCCCTGGGCCCCCCTGGAAGCAGAGGCTAGGGGGTGAGGCGCCTGCCTTGGAACCCCTTATGGCTGAGGGCCGCTGAGGCTTTCCCTCTGTGACTCCCAGTCCTACATCTTCAAGCGGTGTTGGCAGCATTCAGGCATGTGGCCACTGGCGATTTGGGTGACAATTTCGTGGTTGGTTGGTACGTGGCAGGTCGTTGTGCGTGACCGTCTGCGTGGGGCGAGGTGAAAGGAATTTTCTGGAGGTTCTGAGGTCGGTTTGATTTGTAGCTTTTTCGGAAAATAAAGGCTTGAGCAGTGATATAATGGATTTACTCAAAAAATAAAGATTTGTCGCGATCTCCCCGACCTCAGTCTGCGATTTTTTGCTGTGTAATCGCAAGTAGCAAGATTAAAAAAGATTGGGCTTAATATAAACGATTTTGCACCATAAAAAAAAGCTATTTCCTCATGTAGGTCTCCGCCCATTGCTATCGTGGAGATTGATTTGGTGGCCCAGAGCCAGAGTTGTTGCTAATTGTTGTTATGAGAAAGAGCTCTTGTGTCCACCTCTTTGTGTCGGTCAGAGTAGAATTCCACATGGGGTTAGTGCCGCGGGGATTGATTTGGTGGGTCAGCGGGGCTGCAAATTGTGGATGAAAAATTCTGACTTTTACAACTTAAGTCGCACTGTCTGGTTTCTGATTCACATTGGCGACCCGGCTGTGCTGCCAGCTGATGTGGAAAAGAAGCTACTTTCCGCGTTTTTGGTCGCGCTCGAGTATTTGGGCTGAGATCACGCTGAGTAACTTGTGGTGATGGAGTTGTGAGGGAGAGAGGGGGAGGTGGGGTCCCTTCCTCGCTAAGGCGTTGTCGGTGGCGGTGTCCTTTTCGTCAGCCATTTCGTGCCGGCGCAGACCGATACTGCTCTATGAGGTCCATCGGTCCGAGTGCAGTGAACTCTCCAATTGCCCGCTCGCTGAATTTGAGTGGTTGAGTATTTTTCGTTGGATATTCTAAGGATTTAGTTTACATAGAATTTACAATTTTGGGTAATATTTCCTAAATTTGGTCAAGTATGCTGTTGGGTTTTCAGACCCAAAGGATAGTTTTATTTGTCATTTTTAGTGGATATATTTTCAGTTTATTCTTCCCGCTATTTCTACCGCGCTGCCCGCCTTCTCCTCTCTCCCCGCGTTGTCACCCGCGCCGCCTTAGCTTTTTGCAGTGCGCGCGCCGACATCGGCGCAGCTTTTCTGCGCAACCATGCCTCGCGGTGGCCGGACCGCAGCCCGTGGACGAGCGGGCCAGCACTCAGCTTCCAGCCGGCGCAGCAGATCACGTCTCTCCTGCGGTACACTCGACGTCACTTCTGATTGTAGGTATCTTTTCGCCACGACGTTTTTCCGTGGTATGATTTCCATTTTCCTCAGGAAGCACATACCTTGAGAAGACCCTAGGGACGCACATTCCCCTGTTTGCCCCAGGACGGTTTTCCCTGGGAAGCTCATTTCCCCAGGACGGTTTTCCCTGGGAAGTTTATTTTCCTCTTTGCTTTTAGTTATTATTACTCGTCATTTGCTCTCATGTCTTTATCATCGTTTCGGTATTTTCCTTTATTCTTCTCGTGGTGGGATGCCTAGGTACGCGGTACGCCTAGTTGCCTTGGGTTCTGTCCCCGAGATGATGCTCTTTCTTTCTTTTTAGTTATTTTTCTCGTTTTCTCCTTCTCTTTTTCATTGGTCCTCCGAACCCTCTCTTTCATTCCGTCTACGGACGCGACATATGCTGAGTTAACTCGCATCATACTACTGGATTATAACTGTCTATTCCAAATTACTATTTCACTGTACAAAGCTGCGCTGTACCCTGCCTCTACTCTTTTGAGAGGGATGTTTTTGGGATACACTCCGACCACTATGATTTTTGCTTTCCGGCCCGCATCTTTTGCTTCAATTCTCGCCACTTCTGCTTGCATGATGAAATCTGACACTTTCCTTGCCAGTTCATCGCTGGATTCTGCTGAGTTATGGATCGTAACGTGTCCAATGGCTTGTCCTGCACACAGTTTAATCGGTTTCATTTGCAAGTTTGTTATTACCACCGGGAAGTGGTTATTATTGGTAAATTTGATTGAAGTTGAGTTGGCTATTTGTATATGTACGGTATATCTGCCGCTTCGAAGCTTTGGTACTCTTGCCGTTTCTTGATTAGTTTGGGGGCCTCAGCCGCCCCAATTACTATTTCTCCTGGATTAATTATTATATCTTGCGTCAGTATAGTGACGACTTTCCATTTCAACTGACTTTGCCTCGTGCTTTGAAGGGCTTGAGTCATTGATCCTTTGAGGCTGCTGTAGTTTTTTGATTTCTGGGAGGAGGTGGGATTACATCTTGGGCAGCTGCGGACCGATGCGCCAGTATGCGCAGTTTTCGCATCGGAGGGTGCCGTTCCTGGTCCTTTCTTGTGAGCCATCGATCCGCCTACAATCGTATGACGCGGACCTGCTGTTCGATGGTTGTCTCTCATAATAATTTTTCCTCTTGGGNGGGGGGGGGGGGTCCTTGTCTCTCTCTGTCATTCTCCTGATGCCGATCTTTCTCGTGATATCGACCTCTAGAACTATCTTGCTGGTATCATGGGACACCGACTGATAACCTCACTTCTGAACAAAGACATCACTTGAACATTTTAAGAGAAACTAATGAAATAGTGTATCGGGCTCTGGCAGAAGACGTGCGACGTAATAATATAAGTGTGTAAAAATATTAGTTAGCTTCTACAGAGAACTGAACTCTTATATTATATTAAATTTAAATCATAAATCTGTTCTCAACTAGTTAGAACTTAGAGGGAGAAGTTGGTAAGTTGGTAACTAGGCACTAGGGGAATTTCGTTTCCGAAACACGGGCTGGACTGGGTGAACTGAACGGAATCGACCAATGGCATTGAAGCACTACCAGTTTTTCTCTAAAATTCAAAACATTATAGCTAAAATTTTGAAAGTTATTTGCCGATTCTGAATTATCCGAGCATTGAAACCCTATTAAATGTGGTATGAATGAAATCTTCATATCTTCAAGCATGATCCTTTGTAGGTTTCATTAGAATCTGTGGCCGTGTAAGCAAGAAATCTGTTGTGAAAGGTGATCGTGTCGGTTTCCCGCTACTGAACGGCCCATGTTACAAAAAATATTTGTCATTTTGGGCCTTTAAGTGCTTATAACTTTTTGAAAACTCAATGGATCTTGATGAAACTTTCCTACTTTGTAGGCCCAATTTAGGTGCGTCAGTAGACAGTATTTACATTCGTACCATCACAACCTATTGCTTGGACAAATTCAAGATCAATGGCATTTTTGGTGCAAAATTCTAAGATGGACTTGCAGATTCCAAGCGATGTACCGGAGATGGGATCTACGTGCCCTAGATATGTGCTCCCAGGTTCTTCCACCAATACTACATGCTCCTCGGTGACAGTCTTGCGGTAGTGTTTTGTCCCCTTCTGCTCCATGACACAAGTAAGATCCTTACGGCCATCGAAATAAAGCCCTCTGATAACTTTTCCAGGAATTAATTCTTGCTTTCTTAAATCCGTTCTCTGCTTTTGTCTCTTTCGTCGTACCATGTCACGGTTCAAGGTAAAATCTAAGTCAGGGCGTCCGATATCTTTCAGCAGGGCTGTTGCAAGTTCTGCAGCTTTTCGGTCCGAAATTCCGGCTTTGTCACAAACCAAAGCAAAGTGATAGAGATTAATTTTTTCGCGTTTTTTCCCCTCGACGCTAACAGGTTCACATTCAGATTCCGTTTCGGTTTGAGATTCAGAGGGCGTTGAAGTGGACTCTGTTGCCTGTTGAACTTCTGGCGGTTGTGGATCAGGCAGGTTGGACGGATTGGGTGACTCGGATCCTCCAGGTTGCGAATCTTCTCTTCTTCGTTTCCTTTCCTCTCGAAGGATGTTCTGTTTGGTTACTATCACGTCAATTCCACCGATTTTCAACTTTCTGGGGCCTCTTTGGTCGAGAATAAATTCGCGTTCTAGTATTGGAATTTTTTTAAATTTTTCACAACGACATTTACCGAAGTCTTTACACTTGCACGCGGCAATATCGAAGAGGGTTTTACCTTTTTCGACAAGCGTGTCTCTTAACGATTCAAAAGTTTTGACGTTTTTACTGTCCCGCACTGAACCTTTCTTAGGTGCACTTTTTAAAACATTTTTATACTTATCGTAGAATTGTTGTAATAAATAGATTATTCCGCGATCAGAAATTACTGGAATTGAGGCTTTATTCCAAATGAATTTCAAGTCCTCTTTCACTCGGAGGGATACGTCTGTAAATAAAGGCGCTTTTTTAGTTGTTTTAAGTTTTGAACGGTGCCAAAGATAACACAGTATAACTTCACTATATGTCGGTAGTTGGCCATTTGGGCACTCACAAGGATCGCCAAAAATTGGACACTTTTCCATATTAACACCCCGCGTTTCCAGTGTTTTATGGGAAAACATTTTGGAGAAAGTAAAGTCAAAAACACGTTATCGAATCAGAGTTTAGTTAAACATTCTATAGTTTATAACACTTCATAACACTATATAACACAGTTTATACACAGTTTATAACACTTGCCAAATCACTTGAACGAAACGAGAATGAAAATGCGGCAGAAAGAACGTCTCAAAACGGCACTCGAATACTGTCAATCCGTGCTTTAACCGACCGATGCAAATACTAGCAAGACACTGATCCTTTTCTTAATTGCTGCATCTCACTCAGTTGCTAAGGGTAGGTAGCACACTGTATGTGACATCCCCTCGAAGTTGGAACCTTCCCACCCTTTCCCGGCGAATTTTCCGGGAAGCGGGCAACCGAGTCGGCCGCGGCCGACCGGCAGCGTCCCGACCGCTCGTTGTTGCCAGAATGCAAGTCTTATTACCTTTAATTCAATGAGAGATGGAAAAGTTCAGAGCTCTTTATCGTCAATTTCTTAATTTGCACAACATTTAATCCGCAATTTTTTTACAGTAATGCTGATAAGTGTCGCGGTTGCCAAATTCAGCTGAAGAGCTTAAAAAATGGGATTTTAAGGTATTTTCGGCAGTTTTGTCGGTCAGCAAAGGGAGGCAAAACGTCAGAATAATTTTTTTTAAAAGCATGAGTGGTGAGTTTTTCACAAAATCGGTCTTCAGTATCATTTTGCGCCGAAAAATGACATTGTGCCAGTTTGCAGGTGAAAAACCAGTCAAAAATCGTGATTTTGGGGTAATTTGGCGGTTTTTTGCATTCCGGGCACAGAAGATGACGTCGGAAAAATTTCAAAAAATTTGTGCTTCATTTTCTCACCTATTGGCAGCTTTTGCGCACCCTCCGTTCGCGAAAAAAAAAAAAAGTCCAAAAACGCTCCACCCTAGTAGACACCAAGATCGATGGAATCCGTGCCGTCGTTTGGGCTGCAGTCGAGTTCGAGTCGAATCAATTTTCAGAATAAGGGAGTTACGTGTGTCTTTGGTTGGCTGCCACCTTTTTCGTTTGGAGGCTTTCCAGTGTTGTCGAGTTTAGACTTTGTCCGGAGGTGGCTACCGCCACCCATGATGGTTGGCTGCCACCTTTTTCGTTTGGAGGCTTTCCAGTGTTGTCGAGTTTAGACTTTGTCCGGAGGTGGCTACCGCCACCCATGATGTGAATGGCAACACGGTAGGCTCCTCACCGATACCCTCCGCAGTTCGCACCCCGGCAAGGTTCCACTCACCCTGCCTCACTTCCCGTTCCCGGAACTGCTCCTTGCACCGGGGTAACTAGAGTATAAGCTCTAGGAAAATTTTTTGTCTCTCATTTTTTGGGATAAACTTTCCTCAATGTATTTGCATTCTGCATAAAATTTCAATCAAAGTGATATAAAAAAAAAATCCAAAAAGTCAATTATTCACTCAGGAGAAAAATTTCGGGTATTCTGAATATCATGCGGAGAGCCAATCAAGAAAAAATTGTATTAACTTTCAGAACTAAATTTGCCATTTTTGTGGTCCTGCCACCACAACGCCTAAAAAGGATCCAAGACTACGCCGTAATTTGAGAAAGAACGGAGGCTTCTTTCAATAAAATTTTCTGGTCAGACGCTTCTGAGCCCGCTATCAAAATTTCATTTTTGCAGTCACTGCTCTCTTCGCTATTACGGCAGAATACCAGAGGGTCCGCCTTTCGGCTGCTCTGCGGCCCAACTTACGGGAATTAGTGTCTAATTTGAAGCATCAAGAAAGCATGGAGAAATGTAATGCAATAAACAAATTGAAAGCACAGTGGTATGGTTATGCGAAAAGGATTGAACAATTGGACTACATTTTCCGATTTTTTCTTCTTTCTCCTTTCTTTTTTGGAAGTAACATTTTAGGCTCACGTCATATTCAAGTAAAGCGGTATAAGTACAATACCAATCCCTCTCTCCATAAAAAATTAATTAAAGTAACTCGATTTTCAGTTTTTTTTTTTTTTTTTTTTTTTCAAATTCATTTCCT